GTCAGCACCCCCCTTCCCTTCGCCAGAGCGAAGCTCGCCCCCTACCCCCCCCCCATAGGACCCTCCCCCCCCCTGTCCCCCCTTACCGCCCCCCCCGAGCACCCCCTTACCCCCGACACACGACCGCGTCAGCCCACGGTCAGCCCGCCGTCAGCCCACCTCCCCCCTTGCCCCCCCCTCACCCCCCGAGCACTCCCCTTCCCACCCGAGCGACCCCCCCCTTCCCCGAGCACCGAAACCGTCAGCTCACGTCAGGCACCCAGGAGTCGCGCTCAACAGATGAAGAACTCCCTCACATATTATTAGAAATCGGATCATCGCTGCCCTTCGTGGCCCATGGCTGCCCAGCGTGGCCCCATTGCACCCTTTCGTGGCACCGTCGCTTTGTTTCGTGCACCGTTTGCAGCCCTTCGTGGCCCCCATACTTTGTTCGTGCCTCCGTAGCAGAGCCCTTCGTGCCCCCTTTCCTTGTTTTGTGGCCCCGTTGCAGCCCTTCGTGCCGCCCACGCTCCCACTAGTGGCCCCATATAGGTATGTCCTTCGCGTGCCCCTAACCCGCTCGTTCGCGCCCGACCGTGGCCACCATGTGCATGCCCATTCGTGGCCCCGCTTTTGTCCTTCGTGGCCCCCTCGCTGCCCTTCGGCCCAGTTGCTGCCCTCAGTGGCCCCGTCCTTGCCCTCCGCGGCCCAATATACGTATGCCTTTCGTGGCCCCCGCTCGTTGGCGCCCGCCGTGGCCTCATGTGCATGCCCTTCGTGGCCCCGCTGTCGCCCTCTGTGGCCCCCTCGCTGTCCTACATGGCCCAGTTGCTACCCTCAGTGGCCCCGTCGTTGCCTTCTGTGGCCCCGCATTATCTGCCCTTCGTGGCCCCCGCTCGTTCGCGCCCATCGTGGCCCCATACGCATTCCCTTCGTGTCCCCGCTGTCGCCCTTCGTGGCCTACTTCGTGCCCTTCGTGGCCCTGCTGTCGTTCTCTCTCTCGCTCTCGCTTTCGCTCGTCGTCGCCGTCGTCGTCGCCGTCGTCGTCGTCGTCGTCGAAGTCGTCGTCGTCGTCGTCGTCGTCGTCGTCGTCGTCGTCGTCGTCGTCGTCGTCGTCGTCGTCGTCGTGGTCGGTTCTCCGTCCGTCCCTCTTGGGGTCGGGTATCGAGGGTTTGGGAAATACGCGTTAACGGACACTCGAGCAGATAAGAGCGATCAGTCTTAAAATGATTGTTGTTGTTGTTGTTGTTGTTGTGGTTGTTATCATTGTTGTTCTGGTTGTTGTTGTAGTTGTTGTTATTGTGGTTGTTGATGCTGTTGTTTTTGTGGTTGTCGTTCTGTCTCTCTCTCTCTCTCGCTCTCTCTCTCTCTATCCCGCTTTCTCTCTCTCTCTCTATGCCAGTTGTTCCCTCTTTCTCTTTCTTTTGTTTTCTTTCTTTCTCTCCTTCTCTCCCTCCCACTCTCTGTGCTATTCTGCGTCTCTTGCATGTGCACCTTGGGGGAAGTCTCTCTCCTCCTCGTCCTCCTCGTCGTCGTCGTGTCTTTCTCCTCCTTATCCACCTTTTGCCTCCTCCTGCTGGCCTCGTCCTTCCTGGACGGATGCCAGACGCTGAGAGCTGCTTCGCAATGGAACCGAAGCTATTCCCTTCCAGGCTGTTGTCTGCCAGGCCTCGAGGTGCTACCAGCCGATGCGGTCCGTCGGATGAGGAGTGTCGACCGGTACCCCGCACTAGGCACTCTGATGCCGAGGTTATACTCGGGTATAGCCAGGACCCCAGGTAGGGGGACCCCGTTAGTAGTAGGGCCCCAGAGCCCCTAAACTAGCCAGAATCACTAAATCAGGTCTGCCGTAGCTTGTGTTTTTTCGGGTGACGGCAGTTCCGGTTAGTGGAACGGGGCGGGGGGCCGTCCCCGAGTACTCATCATTAAACCAGGTTCCACTAAACCCAGTTCTGCCAACGCCCGATATACAGATGGCGCGAAGGCCAAGAACGAGTCAAGTTCGTGGTGTTTCGCGCCTGTCGGTTGTTCTCGATGTGGGAATGCTTTTTCGATGGACGTATCTTCTCTTCAGGTCTTGGGCCCTCGGCGAAAGAGCATCTTTCCAACACTTTTTGATCCGCGGGTCGAGAGCGAGCCTCTTCCGGTCGAAGCTAAGCGCGCCGCGCCCAGCTTTAATTTCGGGGGCGGAAAAGACGGGGGGTGATGACTAGGGGGGGGTGGATATCATGGCGTGGGCCATGATATTTCCCCAGATTTCATGGCGCCTCTTCTTATTTCATTACGTCCCTGGCCCCCCCGCTGGGCCGCGCACATGCCGCAGGTCATGATTTGCACTCCCCCCTCTTGGACACCCCCCTCTTGGCCGCTCCCGATAATTGACAGAGGGGGGAAGGCAGAAGGAGGGGGAGCATCTTTCCAACACACATGGGAGCTCGGTGACTGTGGCCGCCCGGGCCTTGGGGGGTCTCTCGGAGCTCTCTTGGCGCGACTTGGGGCCTCCTGGGCCGTCCAGAGGCCGTCTTGGGGCGACCTTTGGGCGACTCGGGGCCCCCTTGGGCCGTGTGGGGGGCCCTCTCGGGGGCCTTTCGGGCCGTTTCGGAAGGATCTTTGGGGGCCTTTCGGGCCATCTGGGAGCGTCGAAAGCCCGAAGAGGCGAGAACGCTAATATCCTTCAAACACGGAAGTGAGGAACATCCCGGATTTTGGCCGCTCGGGCCCTCCTCCTTGGGGACCTCTTGGGGCCCTCTTGGGGCGTCTTGGGGGCCTCCTGGGGCTTGTGGGGGCCCTCTTCGGGGCCTCTTGGGCCGTCTTGGAGCGGTCTTGGGGGCCCATGCGGTTTTCTTGAAGCGTCGAAGAGCCAGACAAAAAGAGAACGCCAACATTAAAAAAAAAACACCGAAGGAAATCAATGATTCTGGCCGTTCGGGCTCCCCTCGTTTGGGACCTCTTGGAACACTCTGGGGGCGTCTTGGGGGCCTCTTGGGCCGTCCAGAGGCCGTCTTGGGAGTCTTGGAGCGATCTTTGGGCGACTCGGGGCCCTCTTGGACCTCTTGGGTGTCCTACTGGGGCTTTCTTGGTCCGTGAGTCATGCAAGGACACGCCACCAGCGCACGGGAGCGCCCAGTAGCGCCCTAATGCGAGCGTCAGGACTTCCAGATTGTGGGCCCCTAGGACATTTGCAGTATTCGATACAGAGAACTCGAAGGGACCTGAGGGCAATCCATTTCGTTCCTCGAGGCACGGTGTCGACAATATGTTTCGAGGCCCTGGACGACGACGACGATGACGACGACCACGACGACGACGATGCCGATGCTGATGCCGCCCCCCCAGCCACATGAGGGCGGGGAGCACCGCCGATGTACCGCATTTCCCCACACCCACAAGGGGGTTGGGGGCACCAAACACCACCCCGCACCCATGGGGGGGAACCATCGGGTGGGGGAGAGCGAACTCATCAGCATTCGGGGAGAACGGATCATCAGCATATATATGTATATACATATATACACGTATATGTGTATATATATATATACTTATATATATATATATATATATATATATATATATATATATGAACGGAGGGGTGCCCTCCCGGTTCGACCCCCCTCCCTATGAACAGGGGGATGGGCCCATCCCCCCGGTTCGAACACCTGCCCCGTGGAGAGGGGGCGGTTCGATAGGCCAGTGTCCAGCCCCCTTCCCCCTCTTTTTTATGGGGGTGAGGGGGCGGTTCCGACTTGTCCAGGGATTCTTCCAAGCAAGCGTCTACGAAACGCGTTCAGCATGCGACCCGTCACTTGATTGATCGAAGCGATGAATTCGGGAGAGTTTGGGGGCGGGGGATCGGTGGCCATACCCCTGGAGCTAACCCGCCCTGCCTCGGCCACGTCGATGACCTTTTGGCCCGAGAAGCCTGCAGGGGCATCAACGTAGGCCTCGAGGGCGCAGAGAGGCCACCACGATGGCGTCACAGGGCGCTGGCGAGACGTCCCAGGCTGCCGATCAGGCCCCCCCAAGATCGTCCGAACCACCCCGAGGTTCCAAGGTGGCCCCGACTTGCGTAAGATGGGCCAGCGCAAGGCCCCCGAGAGGCGAACATCTTCGACGTTCTTTGTGTCTTCGTGCATGTTCGCGACTCTCCAACCTCCCAGCTCCATCCAGATGGCTCCAACAGGGTCCGAGAGGCTCGTTAGAGCCCCCACTAGGGCCCAAGACGCCCCCGAGATGGTCCAAGCTTGCTTCCAAGCCTCCTAGACGGCCCCGCGACGGCTCCGAGACGTTCCAAGACTGCCTCAAGGCAGCCCCCGAGTCCTACGCCCCCCAAAATGTCCCACAGGCGCACCCCAAAGCGTCCCAGGAGGCCCCCATGGACCCTAAGATGGCTCCGAGGGGCTGACGAGACCAAGCGCTCCCCAAGAGGGCCACAAGACAGGACAGGCCGGCGACCTCGTGCCCTCAAGGGGAGGGTGCTTGCCGACTGTTGGGTTTCGATCAAGCCTGTTCCTGCCCCCCATGACCTCTGGAGCCTTTTTTGGCCCAAGGTATTTTTTTTGAACTGGGCGTTCACAGCTCCCACTTTCCCATTCAATTCGAATTCCTTTTTTCAACCAAGAAACAATGGCGCACTCCAGCATCGCCGCGTTCGTGGCCGCCTTCGCCGCTGGCCTGGTGGTCTGCCAGCTGGGCAACGCCTTCGTGGCGCCGCCTCTCGGCCAGCGTGGGCTTGATGGCCATATGGAGCCGACCACGGTGTCCGCGGCGCCTGGCGCGGCGCCCGCCTCTCAGTCGGCGGCGCCCGTCGGAGTCGGCCTGACAATGATCGGGGCGTCCGTGGCCCTCGCCCTGCTCACCAGGGGTGCGCTGTCCAACGCCGCCCGGAAGGCGCGACCGCAGGGCCCCGCGCAGCACAGAGTAGTGATGGCGGCGTTCGAGAGCGAGCTGGGCGTGCAGGACCCCGTGGGCTTTTGGGACCCTGCCGGGTTCACAGCGGATGGTAGCACGGCGAATTTCGCCAGATGCCCCGACAGAGCTCAAGCACGGCCCGTGGAGCAGCTGGCGACGATGGGTTTACATCAACGCCCGAGAATCACCGGCAAGCTGCCCGGACTACTTGTCCGCTTCGGCTGGCCCTGAAGTTCGGGACATCCCGAACGGGCTTGGGGCGATTCGGAGGATTTCCCAGCGGTGCGGCTGGGCGTGCGCAGATTCCGTGCGTACCCGGTCGTTCTTGCGAGCTGTCCCCGGACAGTCCGCTGGCACCCGCAGCCGCCGCCGCAGGCGACTTCGGCTTCAAGGTGCTGACGTCCAGTGATGCCGGGGAGAAGCGGAAGAAGTTGGCGGCAGAGATCGCCAACGGTCGCCTTGCCATGATGGCTATCATCGGAATGTTTTTCCAGGACGGCTTGACCGGCTCTGCATGGGGCGACTGGGCGCTCTACACTGGATCCCCGCTGCGCGCGTTCGAGAGCGAGCTGGGCGTGCAGGACCCCGTGGGCTTTTGGGACCCTGCCGGGTTTACAGCGGATGGTAGCACGGCGAATTTCGCCAGGAGGCGCCAGACCGAGCTCAAGCACGGCCGCGTGAGCATGCTGGCGACGATGGGTTACATCACGCCCGAAATCACCGGCAAGCTGCCCGGCTACTTGTCGCCTTCGGCTGGCCTGAAGTTCGCGGACATCCCGAATGGGCTCGGGGCGATCTCCAAGGTTCCCGCGGCGGGCTGGGCGCAGATCGTGGCGTACGGCGCGTTCTGCGAGCTGTCCCAGGACCAGTCCGCTGGCACCGCTGCCGCCGCAGGCGACTTCGGCTTCAAGGTGCTGACGTCCAGTGATGCCGGGGAGAAGCAGAAGAAGTTGGCGGCAGAAATCGCCAACGGTCGCCTTGCCATGATGGCAATCATTGGAATGTTCTTCCAGGACGGCTTGACCGGCTCCGCGTGGGGCGACTGGGCGCTCTACACTGGATCCCCGCTGCGCGCGTTCGAGAGCGAGCTGGGCGTGCAGGACCCCGTGGGCTTTTGGGACCCTGCCGGGTTCACAGCGGATGGTAACACGGCGAATTTCGCCAGGAGGCGTCAGACAGAGCTCAAGCACGGCCGCGTGAGCATGCTGGCGACGATGGGTTACATCACGCCCGAGATCACCGGCAAGCTGCCCGGCTACTTGTAGCCTTCGGCTGGCCTGAAGTTCGCGGACATCCCGAACGGGCTCGGGGCGATCTCCAAGGTTCCCGCGGCGGGCTGGGCGCAGATCGTGGCGTACGGCGCGTTCTGCGAGCTGTCCCAGGACCAGTCCGCTGGAACCGCTGCCGCTGCAGGCGACTTCGGCTTCAAGGTGCTGACGTCCAGTGATGCCGGGGAGAAGCAGAAGAAGTTGGCGGCAGAGATCGCCAACGGTCGTCTTGCCATGATGGCTATCATTGGAATGTTTTTCCAGGACGGCTTGACCGGCTCCGCGTGGGGCGACTGGGCGCTCTACACTGGATCCCCGCTGCGCGCGTTTGAGAACGGGAGCTCAAGTCCCGCAAGCTGAATGCCAAGATCGCGAATGGACGGCTGGCGATGATGGCAATCATTGGCATGTTCTGCCAGGACGGCTTGACAGGATCTGCGTGGGGTGACTGGGAGCCGTACACACTCGCCCCTGCGATGAACAGTGTTCGGCGGTGTATTCGACTTGCCGCCGTCATCATCCTCCTCAAACAAAAAAAATTAGGACGCCCCTCCCAGCCCTGCTCCTCTTGTAGACTTTGATGCCACGTCTTCAGTACAGCATGGAGACTGTGGCCTCATCATGGTTTGTGGCGCTGATTCCAGCGAGGGCCTAGGCGATAACTGATGGGGCAGGCTGGCATCCATGCAGTCAAAACTCATGTCTGATGCTGCTCGGCTTCCTTCCTCTCCTCCAGTCCCCTCTTCTGTCTTCCGCTATATCTGCCGCCCTCCTCCATGTCCAGCTCTTGGTCTTCCTGCTTCTGTTCCTGTTCATATTGGCTGCCAAAATCGATGTTTATGTAGACGCGACGAAGCGCGAGACCCCAATGGTGAGCGATTACACAAGAAGGAGCTATTACATGGGGGGGCGAGCACGTGCTGTTTGACCCCGCGCGTTTGTGGTCACCCTATGTTGTTTAGGCTCATTGATGTTATTCCCCCTCGACGCCCCCCCCAATGACCATGCAACAGCCCTATGAATGTGAAGGGGGCGGAGAGGGGGGAGCGGGGACAAGCGTTGCCCGCACGCCATCCGCACTACTACTACTACTACTTGCTACTACTACTCCTGAATTAACTACTACTACTTACTCCTGCTACTAATGCTACTACTACTAATACTATACTACTATACTACTACTACGACTACTACTACTACTACTACTTCTTATTTCTTCTTCTTACTACTCTACTACTAGTACTAGTACTAGTACTAGTACCACTCCTACTACTACTACTACTACTACTACTACTTCTTCTTCTTTTATTAATACTACTACTACTACTACTACTACTACTACTACTACTACTACTACTACTACTACTACTACTATATTGTTACTTTTAGTATTACTACTACTACTACTACTACTACTACTACGGCTATTACTATTATTACTACTACTGCTATGACTACTACTAGTACTCCTACCACTACTACTACTACTACTACCACTACTACTTGTACGACTGCTACCACTGCGTTTACCCTGGCCACTATTACTACGACTGCGACTACCACTACGGCTATTACTATTACTACTACTATCCTGATTACGACTACGGCTAGTATACGTATTACTACTACGACTACTACTATTCTTACTCCTTCTCCTGCTATTCCTTCTTCTACGACTGCTACCACTACCACCATTCTTATTCCTATTACTACTACTACTACTACTACTACTACTACTACTACTACTGCTACTACTGCTACTACTACTACTACTACTACTATTATTACTACTGCCACTACTACTACTACTACTACTACTACTACTACTACTACTACTACTACTACTACTACTACTACTACTACTACGACTACGACTACGACTACGACTACGACTACGACTACGACTGCTACTGCTACTACTACTACTACTACTACTACTACTACTACTACTACTACTACTACTACTACTACTACTACTCCTGCTGCTGCTGCTGCTGCTGCTGCTGCTGCTGCTGCTGCTGCTGCTACTACTACTACTACTACTTCTACCGCTCTGACTACGACTACCGCGCCTACTACAACTACTACCGCTAACGCTATTAAGACTAGTACGACTAATACTACTATTATTACTACTGCTACTACAGGGCGCGAGAGGAGGATATGGGGAGACGAACCACGACGAGAGGAGAGGGCCGAAAGGAAAAATAGCATGATAAGGGAGGAGGATGAGGGAGAGGGATGACAATGGACGAGGAAGCTATGCTATGCTTTGCTAACCATGTCAATGTATGCTCACCCCTGTGCGTTGAATTGTGGCGGGGGTCCCGACGCTCTTGTCCATCTCTCACTACCTCCCCGTCCTCTTCCATTTTCCTTATCTCAATCCTTCTTATCCCTTCCGTCATCCCTTCTCGTTTCGCCTCCTCCTCATCCTCCCTACCGCCCCCTCCTCAGACACGACTGGTTTTCGGGTCGCCTTGCGCCAAAGCAATAACATTCCTTGATCCGCTCGTCGGTGTGACAGGGGTGCTAGGGCACGCCCGTCTGTCTTGAAGGCAGTCCTGGTAGTGTTTTGGCCAGTTGATTTCTAGCCCGCCTCAACAGCTTCAGCTGCCACCCAGACCAATGCACCCCTGCGGGATCACATGCAGTGCAGGACCCCCTTTGGACCCCTAAGACCTCCCAGCAAGCGTTGATCTGAAACGATGGCGGTAGGCGAAACAACTGAAAGCGACGGAACGGTCAGTACAGTCAACGCGCATAGTAAGGACAAACGACTTTTTCAAGGGTGCCCTTGGGTCCTTGCCTGCCTCAGCCTCTGCGGCCCGTCCCTGGCAACTTTCGCAGGCCAGAACACTTCAACCTCGGCCTCCAAGGGTCTTGCGTCCTTGCCGCGCGTCCTTACATACGGTAGGTTCGCGTCGTGTCGACCGGCGGCGACGCCGCCGCGGGCTTTCAAGGTTGAACGCCGCCAGTGGCCCAGAATCGGCCTATATGGAACGATCGAGCGATCCACAGTCGCCGATCGTTCAAGGTTGAACGATCCACGCGGAGTCAGAAACCAACGCCGGGGTCGTCACGACACGAACCTGACGTACGCTCTGACTGCAGCCATGTGGGCTCCAGGCTTGTGGCCTCTCTGGGCGCCCTCGGCGCCCCGCGCCTCGCCGGCATGCCGGCGCGTGTTCGGTGACCTGCTCGCCGAGGGGGTCGGCGGAGCGCCGCCCGCGGGGCCCGCGCCCCGAGCAGCCCCTCGGCCGCCAGCGGCAGCTGCGCGCGGGCGCGGGCGAACCTCACCACCCACCAAACCATCCCAACCCAACCCTCTGGACGCCCGAAATGGGTACTGAAAGAATGGGTACTATGCCCAACAGCGGATCTGGTTCATTTTGAGCAAGATCCGCTGTCCACGCCGCCGCGGCCTGTGTCCTTTCGAGACAGAAGGCCGCCCGCCCAACAGCGGCCGCTGTTGGTTTGGGACAACACATTTGCTGTTGGGCATAGTACCCATTTTTTCGGTACCCATTTCGGTCGTCCAAAAACCCGAAGGCTCAGATTTACCCTCGATTTCCAGTGGGGGGGGGTGTCGGGAAACATCGAAAAAACACATGTGGAACCCTTACCCCCCCCCCAGCCCGAAATTCGGGTCTTCGGGTTGGGTTGGGGTGGTCTGGTAGGTAGTCAGAACCAGAGAGCGAGGCGCCGACGCTGGCGCCGCAGGAGGCCGAGGAGGCCGAGGAGGTCGAAGGCGAGGCACGGCACGCGACGTGGCCGCGAAGTCCAAGGTCAGCGCTGCAGTGGCTCGGAGAGCAGCTTCGCGGGCAGCCGGTGCGGTGGCCAGGAGTGAGCGCCTTGCGCCTTCATGCGGAGAGCATTGTCGGTGATAGGATGTGTGGTTCCCCAAGATATACCAAACAGTCAGCCGAGTCACGCGTTAAGCGTATTCTGACCGTGAACCGGTCCAGCACTCACGAGGCCGAACGTGACAGAGTGATTGTGAGCCACGCAAGAGCACAGGCTAGAGGCCTTTCAGAATTCTGTCGGTTCGGTAACAACTACATGCTACAGTTGACCACCATTTTCGACGACGCGTCAATGTGGGTTGGCCGACCTCGCCAGTCAGATTTTGATGAGCTCGTTCGCGACCTTGGGGAACCAGTCCAAGAAAAATGAGGAAGAGCGAAAGGGTGGCACCATGGCCCACACTCCAGTTTTAAATGTGCGCGAACCGGTTTTCAAGATGTGGGAGTCAGGTAATGGCCACTCTACTTGTGCTGCGGCAGCGCTGTTCAGCCCCGCCCAGCCGATGCCGCAGGCAAACTGCTCGACTGTGCTGGACAGGCTGCGGAGGTGGTCGTTCTGCAACGATTCGATGTCTCCTGGTGTTTTTTTGAACCCAGATCGTGTCATCACCAACGCAGCGGTCATGAACACGACGACTTGGAAAACCTTGAGCGTGGTGAGGGACTGCTTGATGCTGAGCTCGAAAATTGTCGCCAAGTGCGAAGGGGCCTTCGGGTCCCGTCGAGCTGAGCATCTTCGCGATGGCCGTCCCGACCGCGCCGACGGTGTGCCTGCGGTGTTCTCCCTCAACTGTGCTGGCCACATGTGCGTGCTAGGGCTGAAGCCGGTCATGAGCTACTTCCCTGGCCTCTCGTCTTTTGTTGTGCGATGCGGACGCATGTCTCAGTCTTCCAGGTTCGGGGTGTAGCCGAACTGCCCCATCCCTACCCTTCCCCCTGTGTAATCACAGGAGCCGCCAGCGCCGCAAATGATATCCCTGCCGGACAGACGAGACCCCCTCCCCCTCCTCTGAAGGCGCCCCCGAGTGGCGAGGGAGGGGTGGGTGAGGGGAGGGGTGGGTCCTCGACCAGGAGATCGACTCGTTCTTCAGGTATCTTCGTGTGATTGGTCTTCCTGCCATCGTCGATTAATGGAGATCGCGCGCAAAGCATGTGCGCGATCGCGCTGAGCATGTTCTCGCGCAGGAGGCG